TTTGGGTATACTTCAGCAGCTGTACAGACACTAGTCCTAGTGAAGGTCGTTATCGGCATCCCTACCAACATAGCAAGAGCGAACCCGAACGTCGAACAATTACTTTGATGTGCAGCTAGCGCATGTTTGGTCATTTCTGGCGGTTAATGCTACGCAGTCATGTCACATCATCGGCACATTTTACGACTGCCATCGATTCCTTATTTAACTTGGTCAGGTACGCAAACTGGTTCGTCTAGGAGACGATATCCGTATCATCCGCGCCCGTGCCCGGCGAAGGCGTGTCCGGTGCAGTGACATACCAAGACACGTCTGTCTACCGTACCAAGTGGGGTCTGATCCTCCGTTATCTGTTCATGGCTTTCCGCAAGCACCATGCTGGAACGCTGGAGCGTTCGTCCATGCCATGTGCAGTACGCAAGATACAATCTATCTTCGGCTCAACTCCTAAATTCCGTTATGCAGTTGCTTACAGCGCTTCCAGAACGTGGATCCTGCCATGTACGCGCGGAAACCCGGTTCTCAGGCGCAATGCAGCTACCGTCTTTCGACACGTTTTCTCATCTCATCTCGTAATGATTTTTCACAGTGGGAGCAAAGAAGATCTTTGCGATATGACTTAAGCTGTATCAAGGCAATGCTATTGTATGCCCGATGTCCATCCTGTCCCCGCTTTCTTTAGTGGCAGTTTCCGGTTAGAAGAAGGGTTATCTGGCAAGCTGTGGAGTTAGTGTTCTCGAGCTCGGTAACCTTACACGAAGGTCTTCCGGATTAAATCGAAGATTAGTTGACAAAGTCGGCTTTCAGCACCCCTGGACTATCGAAATGTCATCTGATAGTATTCCCCTCCTTTTCTTTTATTGGCCGAAGCTCCCAGTGCCAACCAGGGAAATACGGAACTTGTGAAACGTGTGTGTTGCCATCATCAGATGGCCGCTGGCTGTTCCTGCGACCCTTCACGGGCTCTAAGGCCAAGAAGGCGACCTGTTATGGCACTGGAAAATTCGCGGAAAGACGGTAGGGTCAAATATGTTCAAAAATCGCACGCATGACTTATCCCCATCACCGCAACGAAATGTGACAACATGGCTTTCAAACAATCATGACCCAGGATTTCCTCGGAGAGATCCTACCGTGCATAACTATTCTTGAGCTATACTCGGTCGGATATCCAGATCCAGGATCCTAAATCGCTCCTGCCTCAGGGTACCTAGGACCAGCAACCCCGTTTCCGTATCAAGTTCGTATCAGATGATCTAGTGGATTTTTCTGTTTCCGTTTCATGTTCTTAAGGGCGTTGGCAGCCTTTTAACGTGAAGAAGTAGGCCATACCCCTTTCCGGCAGGCCCATTTCCTTTTTAACACTTGCGCGCATCCTGGTTGATCCCCCAACTCAGATTCCAATCACCACGACCTTCTAGTCACATCATCCTCGAACAATAGTGTACGGGCTGACTGCTGGTCGCCAGTATCTCCACTCCGGCAACAGAATGACAACCCATATACGGCTGCATCCGCCGAAACTTAAAACTGCATGCGGAATGCACTCTTCACCCAACGTGTTCCAGGCTCGCTGTGCTTCATTCACGGAACCTTTTCTGCAAAAGCCCCCGCAGTCCCTCCTACATGTTGCGTATGATCTCATACCCATACAGGGCGTATTCTCCGATCGGTAGGCAATATTATTAAACTCAAGGATTTCATATTTAGTTCCAAATCATAAATTCAGGGGGATCTTAAAAGACACGAAGGCAGTGCAATATGATGTCACATGTCACTGATCCCTTCCGCCCCGCACAACCTGGCGGTCTGCAAAAAAAAAAAAACGACCTCAAACTGCCGATTCGAGCTGCATCATGGACCCACGCACGTCAACCGATCGTAACCAATTACGCGAGGACTTACCATTGCGCCACAACCTGGCTTCCCCCATTCTTAGATCCCCGAGACTAACCTTTTCTCGATCATATCTAGCCCCCTTGGTAATTAATGTGGGATAGAGGAAGGTACCATAACGGTCCCGTGTCACAGCATGGCGAAGACTCTCAATTCATGCCGCATGGCGTGACCACGCTTGGGAGGGCAAGAAACTGCGCAGTCGAAAAATACGGTTACTTCCATGAGGTGGTGCAAGCATTACCGCGTCAAGCACAAGCAAAAGAGTGTTGTCACACAAGTCATGGTAGTAAGCTAGAGTTTTCAGCAATAAGCTAAATTTTATTGTCGTCACGGTACGAACGAAACTAATATTCATGCTAGTGAAACGCATAGTAACAATGCAAACTTGAAAGTACGTAATGGAGATCGTGAGTGATGTGGAAACTTTACGGGGTGCAGACCATTTTACCACGTTGGATAGAGGAGACGAAAACAGGATCCTGCCTGGAGACTGACGAGACTCCTAGGGCACAACACGCCTCAGGAAGTCCGACAAGTCCCTCAGCTCCCGTGGACATACAGAATGATTCCAAGTTATGTAGCTTCTAAAACTCAAGCCGGGTGAACCTAGTCCTCCCTCAACGTCGGAAGATTGGGGTAAGTTGGAAGTACAGCGGGCGTTGTGCTCCGTGCCTAGTGTAAGGCTCTCGACCATGCGTATTCCGCACGCGGTAGTAAGTTTCTTCGTGGCGATGTCCGCAACTTTGTGCCGGACCATGTTATCGTCCGTTCCATGGCCCCAGAAAATAGGCATTTGCGCCGCACGCGAAGATAGTAGCTACGCTTGGAAGTTCAGTGGTTTGCATTGAAGTGGATTGTGCGCTGACCTGTTGGAAGCTGCTCTGCAGGGGAAGCCATCCGCTGAGAATGACTAACCCACCGAGTTTCCAGCCCTCCTTACCCCCAGCGGCACCATCCTTCGGGCGACTGGCCAGGCCTGCTAGGAGAGCTAGTGCCGCCCCTTGGCTGAACCCGCCTATGACAACCCGCTCAGGAGGCACACCTGCATCAACCTCTCTTTGAATTAATTCGTCAACCATACGAGCAGCCGTCATGATTTCAGCGCGATCTTCTGTTGCCTTCTCAAAATCGAAGGATGTGATATCAAACCAACGGGGCATAGATTTCTTGTTGTGCGCTGTGACTCGGCCGGTAGGTGCGTTGGGGAGGACCCACTTCACATGTGGCATATTTTTGGACAGTGTATCAGTAATTGGGCACCATCCTTTCCCAGTGTCACCGAGCCCCTAAAGTTGGAGGGTAGGGGTAAGGTCCGCAGGTAGCCGAGCAAGGGTTTGGGTGGGACCTACATGGCAAAAGATGACGGATGCTGTATGCTTTCCTGTCGGGGGGATGATAAGAGGTGGTTCAGGCATCGACGTCGTCATGCCCAGGTTCCAGTGCCAACAGAGAATGAAACGGGGAAGTGAAACAAAAACGAGGGGACTGTTAAAGGACGGGGAATAAATACACTTCAAGCTTCAAGAACGAGTTCATGAGGCTTTGGTAGCATTAATGAGATTTCATTTCAGCAAGTGGTGCCCTTCAGACGATCGGGCCGTACGCTCCGGGCGGATATAGCTAATCGCAGCCTTCCTTAACTGGATCATCCATGGACACAGGAAGCGTACGAACGGAACCTGAGGGGGAGCAGACCACACCCACTCAGGGTCTATCAAAGAAGGCACAGAAGCGTGCTGCGAAAGCTGCCAGGTTCCATGAACTTAAGCTTGAGCGTAGGGCACGCGAAAAGGAGGCAAGAAAGCGCAAGCGGCAGGAACGCGCCAGGGCTGTTGCAAACGGCGAGTGTGATGTCAGTACCACTCGCAAACGGCGCAGAACCGATGCCGTTAGTGAAGGCAGTCCATTTAATGCAAGACTAGTCATCGATCTTGGATTCGATGAGCTGATGACGGACAAGGTGATTTTCTCATTGCTCATTCCTGCACTCTCACACGTGGTACTTAACGACCACGGACTCGCAGGAAATAAATTCCCTTACTTCACAGCTAGCATATACGTACAGTGCCAACAGACGCGCATCACACGCATTTTCGTCCTTGCTTTTCACATCCGTCAATGGTAGGACTAAGCAGCGCCTTGACGCCATGAACGATGCCGGATACAGAAGGTGGTCAAACACAGAATGGTGGGAGAATAGCTACGAGCGCATATGGACCCAGTCCTCGTCTCCGTCGCAACCTCCCTTCGATGAGCTTACGGATGCGCCCACCGACTCCAGCGCTGAGATCACGGCCGACGCGGATGACCTCCGCAGAAGTGTAATTTATTTTACTGCGGATTCCGAACACGAGATCCTGGAACTCAAGGAAGGGGAAACGTACGTTATCGGCGGCATATGTGATCACAATCGATACAAGGTTCGTTGCACCATGGCTTATCTGTGTGCTAGTATCGATGACATGCGGGTGCAGAACCTATGCCTGAACAAGGCTAACGCTTCCCAGATCCGCCATGCTCGCCTTCCCATCGGTCGTTACATTTCCCTTGCGACACGAAAGGTGCTGACTGTCAACCAGGTACGTTCAATGGCGGCCATCACTGATGATGTGATTGGGGTCACTATCTGCCATGGCTCGCTGCGACCTCATGCAATTCATATTTCCTTCTGCCAACCGTCAACTGCCATGAGGGCACTGACTCATCTTTCGATAGGTGGTTGAGATCCTACTGAAATGGGTCGAAACACGCGACTGGGAACAGGCATTTTGGGCAGTCATCCCGAAGCGGAAATTTCAGGGTGTTGAACGTGTCAACCCCAAGGATGATGATAGCACAACCAACGAAGTGGGAGATGGAAATGAACTGGACGGTTATGCAGACAAGGGACCATCATGGGTTGAGTTGGAGGGACGTAGTAACACTCCCGTGAGCGAGGGTGGTGGTGACATTGTGTCAGACAGCGGGGGGGAAGGATAAACGCTCAGGAAAGTCATGCGATCATTCGCAGGCTCTGAGGTACTTTTTATGACTTGTGCTTACGATGCGTCGTCGCCTGCACCGAACACTTCTTATGGACGAGAAGCGCTTAGACTGTCAAGTGCCCCATGGCTGAGTTGGTTACAGCGTCCGACTGTTACTAAGTATGGCATCGGAAGGTCGTGAGTTCGAGCCTCACTGGGGCAGTCCTTTTTGTTCCTCCAATTACAGAAAAATGCCACAGAATCTATACCATCCTCCATTGCTATACTGCGAAGTTCTATTGTAAAAACGTGCGTAGAGATACAGACTCGACGCAATACAGATGTAATATGTCACCCGAAGTGCTTCTGTAATAACTCAAAAGGTTTAGTAAAATTCGCCCCTCGGCGACAGTCAACCCGTATCTCCGTCCTTAGCGCTGGCTTCTGAAGACACAAGGGACGATGGCTGTTGCGTTATGGCAATACTCGAAGGACGGAGCATAACCTTTATTCGTTTCGGTGGATCGTCGCCTTGCTTGGCGGGAGGTTTTACCCGACCGCTGGCGGCGTCATCATCCTTGTGAGTACCCAGGTCTACCCGCTTAGGTTTACTGGCCAGACGTTCAAGGAGCTCTTCCTCGTCATCATCCTCTCTTCGCCGCTTCTCACCCATCCGTGGGAACTGTAACGGGGATTTCGGAGACGTACCCGCGTCTGCAGACATCGGTGTAGTCACGACCTTTGTCCGCGTTATTGATTCCAAGAGGTGTTCATCCTCCTCTTGTGAACGCAGACGAGGAATGTTGGAAGGGCGTGATATTTGTCGATGAGCTAATCGTGGACTCGGGGGGATGTCTGAACCAGACAAGGGTGGGCTCTCACGGGGGGAAGTGACGACGGAATCTTGAGCACGCTCGGCGTCCTCGTCTTCATCGTCATAATCCACAAGGGCGGAGAGTTGTGGTGTACGGGGTAAAGCGAAATTTTGGGGCCGAAGAGATATTTTCGAGGTGACCAACGCTCCTCTTCGTTTCCGCCTAAGGGAGCCCAGTGCAACAGATGAACGGGGTCCAAGACTAGATGAACTGATGAATGGCGGTGGTTGGTCGGAATCATCATCGTCATTATTAAAATAGTTTTCTTCTTCTGCGTCGATGGCGCGAACCATACGACGGGAGTCTCTGGTGTCCCTGCTTCGGAATTAGCGGGCTTAAAGCCTATCACAGGGGCTGTGGCATACTGGTCAGGTTGAGACCCTTCCTTCGGAGGAGGTTCAATGTTAATCTCCCATCGGCGTATGAAAGCATTAAATCGTGCCCCCTCAGTTGGCGTAGTGGCAAGTTGACGAACTATGGCTTCATGTTTCGTCATGCAGTGATTGATGAGGTCCTTCATGTTTTCCTAATTAAAGGTCATAAGAATTATCTACCTGGCACAAATGTAAACGTGTAAACTTACCTTACGCATGTGCTCGAAGAACTCTTGACAAGATGCACTCAGCAAACTATCTCGATGTGACTCCTGCAGGGCCAAATCAAGTATAGGCTTGAAGACGTCCAACTTGGTGAGGTGGTTAAAGAGGTTCTTGTTGTTGAGCTTGAGACATATCCGAAAGAAACGGAACGCCGCTGCAAAGTCCATGTCTGGTCATAGAGGGTCGACAAGAGGGACGATAACGTACATAATCGCAGGTGCTTGTCTCGAGCACTTAGCAGTATGGCCACGCGAGTAGAGATGTTGGATGAGAGCATGTAAAAGTGGCTTCGGAATGTGTGTTGCTGCGCGAATATGCACATCAGGTCGCATAAGTATAGAAAGAGGTTGGTTTTTTCTCGCGATAGCTTCAAAATAGGTTCTGCATCTAAAACATTGTCGCTCAAGGATGTTCGATAGGGAAGGGTAGAAATCATACCCGTCTGCTTTCTGAAGTCTGGTATATCTCCATATGGTTTGAATAAGACTTCTATGCAGTTCTTGTAAAAGTAATCCAAAAACTTTTCAGTTCCTGGATCGTCTTTGGGGCGAGCTGAGAACTTCGCACCGAGTGCAGACTATAAAAGTCATAGGTACGAAGTAGCTTAACGACAACGTTGCACTTACAGGAGTTGTCCCGGGACCAATAGTGTTTTGTGAAACGTCAAGAAGCGCCTTTAGAGCATCTCCAATCTGACATTGCACTGCTAAATCACGACTCTGAGTGATGATCCGGCACATGAGTTTCAACAGGGTCTCAGCCTTGTCAGCACCGATTCGTCCTGCTTCCTTCTCCCGCTCGACAGCCATGGCCTGTTTAAAGACATGGCCGCGGACGCCATGGAGATCATGGTCCAGTAGAGCAGACATGATCTCGCTCGCCGCGTTTATGACGACTTTTGACGTGTTTTCCCTCTCATTGAGTCCAAATCCCCACTGCACCGCAAATAGTATCCCTCGATCCACAAGCGTTCGGAAAAGCGCCATTCGTGCCGGAAGCTGGACGTTCTTTCCCATCACACAAAGTTGCTGGATGAGAAGAACCACTTCCCGACGAAACGCAATGTCGCTCTCAGTCAAGGGTCCCGGCGGGTCAAAGGAGAAGGGTGTCGTTTGTGGCGGGTGTCGTCCATTTGCGACAATACCATTAGGCGTTCCTGCAGCATCAGTTTCCTCGCCATCTTTCCGGGGTCCAGCGAGCACTTCTTCGCTCACGTACAGTCTCACAATCTCCTGCAGAAAGACAGGGTCTTGCTGGACATGGTTGATGATGTCAATTTGGTTGAAGATGATACAAGAGTTGAGGACGTTGAAAGTTGAATCGTCGAGTATGCGGGCGAGAACCACGTCCTTGAGGAACTGGAGACGAAACGTGTGGTGAACCTTCTTGCGTATAACTTCGTCCTGGAATGACGATAGGTTGGTGGAAACGAGTGTTGTTATGAAGAAAATCTCGGTAATTTGCTTTATGGGTAGGAAATTCCGGATCGTCTGCCCACGCTATGAGGGAAGAAGCAGTATTACGGATGGGAAAGGACCCACATTCGAGCATCCCAACCACTCCAAAAAAGATGTCGTCTTCAAGGATGTGCTCGTAAACGCTGTGGTCATTCATCATCACTGTAAGCAGGCGTGAGCAATACCGGACATGAAATTTGAGCCGAGCACGTTACGAATTGTTTGCATGAGACTACACAAGGCGTGGAGATTATCGAGACTTTCCAGGTCCTCCGCCATGCTCATAACGTCGATAAGTGCCTTGATATATCCCTAGGGGGTGTGTTTCATTAATATTACCAGCGGAGACATGGCGAATTCCCTTTCCGTATCATGACTTACCTCGCGCTGGATGTACTCGCATATCCTCTCTTTGATGGTTTGGGTTCGAGCAAGTGCTTTGATGGCGCCCTCGATATCTTGGATATTACCTAATTGCGGAGATGGCAAGTGACCGGTGCGGATAATGGTTGCAGTAGTGGCAGAATGATCTCCGGCAGGGGACGAGGAACCAAGCCCTTGATCTTCTGGCCAAAAACACATTGCGAACGGGTGAGTGTCAATGGGACGAAAGGGCACGCGTCGTGCGTGGTGGGCAGAGGGTTGACGTGATGCTCACCGGCATTCAAGTGGCGTTGCACTTCGATAATAAAGTTCCAGACTTCTGCACACCCGTCTGCGTCTTGAAAGCTTAATGCGTAGTCCGCTCCATCAGGTTCTGTCCACACAATCAAACTATCTACAAGCTGGTGAGTACACGAGACATGGCTTGGCAACCCATTTCCGATGGCATATAAGGGCAGGTACACAAATGGAAGGAATCGTACCTTGTTGTCGTTGGTAGACGTCATTCGAGCGGATGGCTGTGGAGAGGATAATCTTGTCAAAGTCCGCTTCGGAACGGGCAATGAGGAAGGCTTGGTTGCTCTCGTCGAGCTGGCCAAAGCAGTAGGCAGTGCCTTGATCGACCCATCGCGAGCCAATGAGTTCGTAAACCTTTGCGAAACAGGGCAAGTATGGGTTAGAGTGTGTCTGAGTTGGAGTCATGCAAATGACGGAGACAAAGAGGTGGAGAAACGCGTTCGCCACAAGGACGAAAGAAACGTGTGACACCAGGCAAGGTTCAATGGGGTGCATGACATCAACCGGAATCCGGGTAGAGGCGATCTTGTATGACAGGTGAGATAGAGCTCACCTTTACGCGTTTTAACTCCTGCGAAGACTCCGGGGATTGCTGAGAGTCCGAAGCGGGGTCTGCGGTCTCGGCCATGCTGATGTGGTCTCCCTTGACATGATCTCCAACGTGTGCAATGTCGGCAAAAAGCAAGTCACGAGAGTCACCCAGGGACAAGGGGTTTGTGGGTGGGGGGTTCAAGACGGCGTCTGGTTCGGGAAGATCGAGTTCCAGGGCTGCGGTATTGGCTGCAGCTATGAGTAGGTCGTGTGGGGCGGCTGATAGTGAGTCGTGTTGCAATATGTCGACAGTATTGTCGTCCGAGTTGAAAGTTGGAGTTTCCTGGTCCGTCCTGCTCATGACAGACGTCGTCCCACAACAAGTATCGAGCCTAACGACGCCCTCCGCAAGCGTAGACCCGTCGTGTGGCTGTTGTAGACCGGTGTTGTCGTCGACAACGTCAACCGGAGCAAAAAAACACCCGTGGGAACGTCATCTGGGGGGGCAAAACCAAAACACATCTCAAAAACTCAAAACTTTCGTTATTCAAAGTGAATCCATGTCAGTTCAAAAACTAGGTTTTCGATGACAGGCTGGGAGGGCTCAGAGCAGGTGGGCAGTCGCCAACGCATCGTCATGATTAGAGTCCAGCGGTGCTTTGACCTTGCTCGGCCTCCTCCCTACCCCAGCTCATGAACTCGAATTCCATTGTCCGTGATCACGTAAAGAAATGCTTTTTTGTCTGGACATCGTCTCCCCTGAACATATTGACCATAAAGGTAGGGCATTGTACAGCACATTTTAGCCGACCAGGCGAGGTGCGTAGCAAAGCTACCGCTGCTTTGGCCTTCTACGCTTTGGCAGGCCCATGCTATGATTCAAAGCGTGCAGGCGACATTGTGCTATTTATCCACCCTCCGGATATACTCGCATCTCAACTCATCGATTCACCTCACATCCTCGTCGTTCCACCATGGGTCTCAAACGTTTCTTCTCCCGTGTTGTCCGCAAGCTGAAGAATGTAGAACGTCCCAAAGCTGATTCCGCCGCTATTAGCCATGCGAACGCCACCGATGTAC